AATGGTATTTGAAAACTGGATATTCATACGAAAAAAGTGAACCTCCACCCCTGCCTCACACTGTATAAAAATATTAATTCAAGATGGATTGTAGACCTTTTGTATAAAATAATAAAGCTTTTATAAGAAAATATGATAGGCCAGGCATGCTGGCTATCAGCACTTTGGGAAGCTGAGGCAGGGGGATCACCTGAGGTCAGGAGTTCGAGACTGGTCTGGGCAACGTGGTGAAACACTGTCTCTACTAAAAATACAAAAAATTAGCCAGGCATCATGGTACACACTTGTAATATCAACTATTCAGGAGACTGAGGCAGGAAAATTGTTTAAACCCAGGAGGCAGAGGTTGCAGTGAGCCAAGATTGTGCCACTGCACTCCAGCCTGGGCAACAGAACGAGACTCCGTCTTAAAAAGAAAAAAAGAAAGAAAATATGATAGAATATGTTCATGACTAGAAGGTAAAGGTTTCTGAGAACCTAGAAAACAATAACCATAGGGGAAAAGAATTGCCAATTAGAGTTAAGTTATAATGCTCATGCATTGTTGATGAGGGTATAAAGTGGTGTAAATGCTTTGGGAGAAGGCCTGGCAATTTTATAAAACTACACATGCATCTGTCCGGTGACCCAAAAGAAATAAAAACATATATTAACCCCCCCAAAAAAAACACTTCACAAAAGGATATTTAATAATAGCTTTATTTATTTAATTACTTAATTATTTATTTATTTTAGAGTCTCACTCTGTCACCCAGATTGGAATGCAGTGGCATGATCATAGCTCACTGAAGCCTCAAACTCCTGGGTTCAAGAGATCCTCCCACCTCAGCCGCCAAAGTAAGACCAAAGGTGCCACGTCTGGCTAATTCTTTTATTTTTTTGGTAGAGACAATGTCTTGCTATTTTGTCCAGGCTGGTCTCAAACTTCTGGCTTCAAGTGATCCCTCTGCCTCAGCATCCCAAAGTGCTGGGACGACAGACATGAACCACCATGTCTGGCTAATAACTTTGTTCATGACAGGCAAAAATTCAAATATCTCAAATGTATCAATAAGAGAATGAATAAACAAACTAGTATATTCATGTGATGGAATCCTCAGCGATAAAAAGGAATGAACTGCTATTTAATGCAAAACATGGGATGAATCTCAAAAACATTATGCTGAATGTTTTTCAAAAATCCTCCCATAAAACAGTACATAGTATATAATCCCATTTAATGAACAGTGGAATCATATCCTGTGTACTAATTTTTGCCGGAAAATATCTGTGGTGGAAAATCAGAACAGGGTTGCCTCGGGTGGGTGGTGCCACATTTTGACTGGGAATGCCTATGAGAAAAATTTCTGAGGTGATAGAAATGTTCCATTTCTTGATAGCAGTTTGAATTATGTGGATACATGCATTTATCAAAACTCATTGTATGGTGCACTTAAGATTTGTACATTTCATTGTATATAAATTTTACCTTAAAAAAGACTACAAG